GAACTTAGACTTCAGAAACTGTAACATGATATATTTAGTAAAACCTGTTTAGGAGCAGGCCATCCTACTGTCCCGCAATTTGTATATTAGTCATGCATTTGCTGAAGAAATAGAAGTCATCCCATATTTTTAGGTGACGATAAGCATTTTTTCTGATTATTGTCAAGCAAAAATATTTCAGAAGAAGAACATCAAAAAAGGGACGCCAAAAATGAATGCTGAAAATAACGAAAGTAGAAATAAATAAATAAATAATAAATTCCATATATGTCACGCATTTGCTTCGATTTTCTTGTTTCCCTTCATGTTCAACATTGCACTTTGAAACGAAGACACCTTAAAACAATAGAATAATGATGCCTTAAAGATCATAAGATGTCTTGAGCCTTGATCTTAGGTGACCAATAATAGTATCATCATCAACAATTAATTGTTTGGTTAAAGTTGTTTGAGATTAAAGAGGTACAGAGATTTATATTTATGCCAGTTATTCACTACTTTCTGTATACCCTTTGCAACCGTTTACATTCTTTAAGTTATGGATAATTCTTTCATCTCAGAGTACAACAGCCTTCTCACATTTTGACCTTTTCAGACCTAAAAATGATAATAGAAAAACAAAGACAAAACAAAACTCCAGATTACATGTACAGTACATGATTGTTATGGATAAAGATATCAGTTTTTGTTATTGGTTTATTGATAATCTGCCAAAGTCTGTCAAAATGCTGTTTCCAGATTTACATTGACAGCCCGTATACAACATATACTCTTCTCACTAAAATAGCTAACAATGGTCTGATAAACCAGAGTGACACCAACCAGAAAGGTTTCTTATCTTTTGTAATTTTCCCAGTAAGGATCTGTTTGTTCTTTGTTTAAAAGTGACACTTTTGCCGAAAGGTGTGAAAAGCTGGTTGAATTTTTCAATAATTTTAACCAGCAGGTTTTGTTTTATGATTTTTCCCCCAGCAGGGTTCTATAATGATCATAGGAACCTCATACATTGTTATATCCTAATGCCCCTTTCTGAAAGTGGTGAGAAAGCCTGCCTATAAAGCTATAAACACTAAAAGGGGAATTACCATATGAGCACAGTCATTTCGTATAAAAAATGAGCCAATAACTCCCCAGTATCCCAGAGTATAATCGGCTGTATCATTTTGATTCTCTTCACATCTATATGTCTTTCAACACAAGAATTGTTCCATGAAGGTAATGGTAGATCTAGTGCAGTTTAACCCCATGAATTCCCAGAATGATAGATATTCCTGTCACAAATCCAAATCTCTTTGAGACCAAGAGACATATATATTCCTTTATAATGTTTGTCAAATCAACACAAATTATCTTGTAAAATATTGTATATAATTGGTTCTTATGCTTCTAGAGCAAAGACATCCATTAGTAGAGCATCTAAATAAAGAAATTGTGCGTGACTTTATTCCATCAGTAGAATAATGGCTGGAAATGTCCTATTCTTTCATAAAGGATTGTGTTTAACACTCAGGTTAATGTCTCTTATACAACTTGTTAATTGCACATGTGTAACTGTTAGAGAGAGATAGAAGCTGCAGACATGTAAATACAGTGTTCTTTCATAAGTTTATTTTTAGGGGAGGAACCAAAAGACCAGAAATGTATTATTGAATATATTGACTTGATTAATAAATGTTTTTTCAAACTGCATCTTTGTCTTAATTAAGGGGGACAAGTTGTACCTGGGAGGTTGTAGTTTTATATGAAGTAAAATGCTGCATTTGGTCATGGGCTTTCAACTGGAATTGACAAATCGTGGGTGCAAAATTTTCATTCTAATAATTTTGACCAATTTTGGTTAAAATTATTCATGATTTTTCAGATGAATACTTTTAAAGGATGTTCCTGTAGTATGTTTTAACATAATATATGATATTCTTGGCAGTTTTCAGGCAGTTGGATTCAATGTGAACTATGTGGACTATGTCTATTCCTCTTAGCCAGGATTGATGTATATTCCATTAAAATTGTAGTAATTGGATCTGATTCACTTATCTCATAAATTGTATTATAATGGCGCTATCTAAAAGCTAAATGGTTTAATCCACAGCTATCTTGTCCCGAGGAGATATAGGATACCAATATCAATTATAAAAATACATTTATAATTCATATGCTAGAGAATGGCTCTATTGATCATTTTAATATAATTTAGTTTTTGTTGTATCAAGCTTGCAGATACTTATGATTGTTAGTTATATAAGGTTATTATTGATGCATTATTTAATATGTTTTACCTTGAAATGAATCCTCTTATACACCATAAAGAAAAAGTGTGCCTTAATGTCATCTATACTAATATACTAGTAGCCTATAAACCCAACTAGAAAATAGTAACATTGCATTGGTAATTTCATTGCATTCAAAATGGCTGCTCCAACAGATCATTGTTGGAACACAATCCTTGTTAGCCATGACCCTGGCACAGAAACCCCTCCAGGACCAAGTGACTGCAACAATGTAATCTGTCTAATGGACCTTGTCTAATCTCAATTGATTCTTGCACACCATATCAACCAATGTGTCTGAAATATTGTCTGAAGATCTACTTTTCTCTCATCCATTTATGTCATCTTGTAGCAGTTTGATTGAGAGGTTTCACTTTTGTAAATTGCACATAAGAGAATTCATAGTCATTCAATGAAGTTAAAAATGATCCATGATTTTTCAGATATATTATAATACTTTTCTAAGAATGCTCCTATAGTATAGTTTTGACTCAAAAATTACACTTTGTTTGGAAGAATTTTTCTACTCCATGGATTTCAGGAGTAACAAATGTTTGATTTCACCAAATCTAAACCTTCCCTAACTATTATCATGATAATAATTCAGGATATTTTGACATTGTTCATGTGATGTTTGCCTGGAATGGAATCTGCCAATCATTCAGTAACCAGGTTACTATATTCCAGGCCACTTTTTATGATTACATTCTACTAAAACATGAAAAAGAATGTGTAGGTGGCCTTTGAGAATAATATCAGAATGGCCTCATTTTAAAATGGCCAGGAAAGCATTACAAAGGCCTAGATATAGAAATATGTCAAAAATTTGTAATCTCAAACAATTTGTTTTTTAATACTGAAAATATTGTGAGAATGCCAACAATTAGATCATTCATATCATTCAAATATTAGTAAGGAATTCAGTAAAATAAAAGTGGCCAATGTGTCTATTTTTGCAAGGTTAATGTTATAAGATGAAATGTGTGTTCTACCTCTAGAATGTTTACTAACGATGTTGTAATAAAGTTCCATCTCTTTGTATGCAAACATGGATTGAGAGACCCTTCCAATAAATAGAACAACTGATAGATTAATCTGGTTTCCTATACATGTAGTTCCTGGAAAATGGGCATGGAGGGATATGATTTATGGAGATCTTTTCTTACCTGAGTAAACATTTTCCACTTTTCCACTGTAGATCTGGTATTCCCCATTTCTTCAAAGCAGAAGAACGTACAAGGCTCTTTGCCTGTGGGCACAACCAGAGCAAAATTAACAGCATGGAAAATCAACAGTATAGAAATATAAAATTTAAGGGTGAGCAGGCTCTTGATGCATTTGCAAACATTGATGAAGTGTATCATATTGAGATGAAAGGTGGTGGAGGGGTATCTCATGTAATACCTGTGGCCCTTGATGTCTCAAAATCAGGAAGAGGTCTCATTTCACACTCTGGCTTACTCTTGATGAATTGCTTAATTATTACACAAAAATCATCCAGGTTACCACCAAAGTGATTATTACGTCATATTGATCCTAATATGTAATATGAGTTAACTTTTCTGCTTTGTATACCCAGATAATTATACCAGCTTAATATTCCATATTATTATGCAAAAACAATCATTGATGCTGAATAATGGACAGGAAATTTTTGGTTGTGTTCTCTGAGGGTTGTCTTGTATAGTAAGAATCAATGATTCAGTGGTATCAGTGTCTAACACCTTGTCAAATCAATAGTCTTTATGTAAGGCTATCCAAAGTACCATGGCCCAATTAAGCTATATATATATCTTGCTCAGTAATAATGTTTCCCGTTTGGTCCATTTTACTTCCACGTAGGATGTATATATATATTGATTATGGTGTCTCAAAAGCAAACATCACCATTGTTTTTATAGGTCAATGGCTTTCTCCAATGTGTATGCTTTCATTCATTGTGTTATGCCATGTTAATAGCAAAAATTTTTGTTTGTTGTTTGATGTTTTCAGTGTTGAACAACATAAAGTGTGAATGTTAAAATGTGTATTATGTACCTTCCACCTTAAACAAGAACATAATCAACATTAAAATAGCCATTCTAGGATAGTAATGTGAATAATCACACTGTACTCAGATTTCGAGCACTACAACCCCATTATCAATTTGACTCAGTTACAAGCACTACAACCCCATTATCAATTTGATTCTAATATAACCTGAATCTTATTATTGCCACAAATATCAATTCATTGAAAATCTAGGGCCATGAAGTAGTCATTACACTTATAAGCATCAAGTTATTCCTTTGAAACAAGTATATATACAAAATGCATATGCCAATCTCGATGTCTTGATTTATATTCTTTTGTAAGTACCACAGAAAGTGTACAGATTTATGCATTGCTAACAGTTTCTAGATAATTTAAAAGGGAAATATTTGTAATTTGACATTTTCCAAGTTATGAGAAATGATGTGATTTATTTCTAAGATGAACTTTGTTGAACTTTACTCACATGAATATAAAAATTTCTTAAGCTGTCATTAATCCACCCATCATCACCAATTTTCCTCAATTATGAGCCAATTTTCACCAAAAATGCAGCATAAGAAAGGGATTATCTCATAATTCATTTGTTATAATCCTGTGGCGTTTTCTCTCTAATGGTAACGAGCTGTCAAGGCTTAAGATGGAATAAAAGGGGGGGGGGGGTTGCGTATCGCTGGATGTATAACAAACGCAAAGTTTATGGTTTACAATGAGTCTATTTTAGAATTTACTTACAGCAAAAGGTGTGTGTTGTCTGATGGTTGAACAAAGTCTGACTGTCCGAACAAAATGTGTCACTTATATAGCCGAAAACCGTCATCTGATTGGTTAAATGATTTAAGCGTGACGAACAATTTGACGGAATCCGTCTGAGACGAGAATCCGTCTGAGACGAAAATCGTCACATTGCCCCAATCTCTTTTGAAAGCTCGTCCCGAGCGTAATATACACGTAAGATGACTGTTAATATCAAATGGATTATTAAAGTAAGATAAAATTGTAATCTTTTTACCTTATATTACTAAAAAAAATGAATAATATACATGGAATCCCTGAATGTCCTTTATCTAAAGCAAATGTTCATAATCAGCAGCCGCTGTATCTTAATGAAAAAGTTCTTTTCCATTGTTCCATAGATTACTAAAAAAACAACTAAATATATATTGAATCTCTCAATGTCCTTATTCTAGAGCAAATGTTCATTATCAGCAGCCGCTGTATCTTAATCAAAAAGTTCATTTCTATTGTTCCAAAGATTACAAAAAAAACAAACTAAATCATAAATATTGAATCTCTGAATGTCCTTAATCTAAAGCAAATGTTCATAATCAGCAGCCGTTGTAGCTAAATGAAGAAGTCCATTCCCATTGTTGGCTTAAGGAAGTGGGAGGAATGTCCTCAGGGATGACTTAGTAATATTGGGGTCCGTCTGTGTCTCTGTCGACTCATGATGTGAATAGGTTGTGACGTTACCATGGAACGAAGTGCATAATGAGTATACGGTTCCATCCTTAAATTCGGCCCGTTCTGTTTTATTAATAAGATATCCTCCACAGGGACTAGGTCGAATTTTCTGTTCATATGACGTCATTCTGCTGGATCTTGCTTCCCTAAGTTTCTTAACCACGCGATGCTTGGGATCCAAAACCGAGGATGGAGGTGTAAGGAGAAACAACCGGGGATCATCGTGCATTCGATAATAAGACGTTTTTGCGTCTTGTACTGGGTCCAATGGGATGAGCTTGTATTCTTCGGCTGGAGATTTTTCTGGCTGATCAATGTCATCTGGCTCCTCAATGCACTTCATCTCAATACCCCTAGTATTCCCCAGTCCTTCCAGGTCAATATTTAGTTCGGGGGTCCCCTTTAGGGACGGAGAGGGTCTAGTTACCGTTTTCTGATTGGGAGTAGGTTGGGCCTCTTGCGTCTCCTTTAGGCCAAATTCGGCATCAACCTTAGGTGGGCTAGACTTTTTTATGTACACTGTCCTTTTATCGGATCCCGTTTTTGTAGCCTTTCTAGGCACCTCATGGTCAGCTGACGCTGATGCAATAGGGCTGTCGTTCCTCCTCTTATTCTGTCCTATAGCCTTTGCTATGTCCTTAGCTTTCTGTCTCATTTGAGACTGTTTGTCCTCCTCACCCTTGTTCGCCACCATCTCTACATTACAGTTAACGTCATGTACGTTTCTTAAGTGCTTTTCATAGTCACTATGGCGAGATACTGGGAATGTTCTAGAACAAATGTCACATTTTACTTTCGGCCCATGTGCGTCATAGGTATGTCTTCTTAGGGTAGCTGCACTGAAGCATAGATAACGGCACTGACCTTTATTGCAGAAGAAACGCACTCTCTGTGGTTCGTCACTCATTTTCCTGAAAGCATATGTTTCCTACATATAGTGATAAGTATGTGTAAGCCATTAGGAATATATAATTAATGGTGACTTCTGACTCCCACCTATGCTTTCCATTTCAATGGCACCTACAACAAGAGCAGTATAACATATACGGATGTCAATAATCCAATGATGATTTCATCTCTAAGAGTTAATCTCCCAAAATTCCAAGGTTTTTGCCATGCATGCAATATTAGTGATTGAACAGCATCAGTGACATCAAAGTAATTAAAAGTCTGCCATGTACCTCCTTTGGTTCCAGCTCCTAGGCATAAACTAATGGGGATACAACATATACAATCATCAGTAATCCATCATTGAGTTAGTCCGAAAATTCCAAGGTTTTTGCCATGCATGCAATATTAGTGATTGAACAGCATCAGTGACATCAAAGTAAATAAAAGTCTGCCATGTACCTCCTTTGGTTCCAGCTCCTAGGCATAAACTAATGGGGATACAACATATACAATCATCAGTAATCCATCATTGAGTTAGATATAAGTTTATGCTAGAATAGATCTTAGTCTTGTATTGTATTCACATGAAATACTAGTGACACAATACCATAAGTGACATCAATAGTACACCAAAAGTGTGCTTTGTACCTCCCTCTGTCTCTTCTAGGCCTCTATAATAATGTGGATATAACATAGTTAGTGATCATTAGTGATGTATTAATGTACTCCTGGTTAAAGAAATTGGTGCCTCTATCATCAAATATGTCATAGCTTTCTAGGTATCCATCTGCAAAATTAGTGGCTGAACATTAGTAGAAACATTGGAATAACTCATCATGTGGTTCCAGTTCCTATCTATAACAATGGCGGTATCACTTATTCAGTAACAGGGAATACATTTACTCTGGATGGCTCCTCGTCTCATTGAATACCCAATATAGATACATATGTGTTCCTCCTCGAATCACCTAGGCATATTCACCAACTAAAAACTAAAATAGATATTGGTTGTTAAAATTATTTTCACAAAATAACAGCATCATAATGGCTTATGTTTCCAATTTCCTTTAATCCATTATGTAATCTTTCATCCAAGAAGGTCTCTTTCGTCCTCGTGCTCTGGGTTTCTTGCTCTGTGTTTCATTATCGGCTTCTTTTTGGCATTCCGTTCCTGAAAATGAGGCATCATCTTTCGTGACAGATTCACTTGTCGTCTCTATTCCACCTCCCTCACTTTGTGTAATATTTTCAACACATGGGGAAATGGGTAGGCCTTTCGCACTTCCCATTGTTTCTTTTTGCCTTCCCATTGTTTCCTGTGACCTGTATTCCTGTATTCCATCCGCTTCATTTATTAGTATCTCCTCTGCCTCTTTATCTGGTATTTTAAACCATGCTTCATAGACTCCCTCGAAGCGCTTGATTCTATTATGGTGTACCACTTTCGGCTTGCTCCTCAAACTGAGTTGAATACCATAGTTCAAATCACCTACATTTTTAATAACTGTGTATGGTCCATGCCAATTTCTCTGCAATTTGGGGGAAACTCCCTTTCTTTTCTTTTTCTCATGCAGTAAAACAAGGTCTCCTATTTTGTATTGAATTTTATTGATCTGATGACTGTATGTTTTCTTTTGCTTCTCCCCAGCTATTTGAAGCTTTGACCTTGCTATCTCATGAACATGCTGCAGTCTATTTTGTACATTTTCCACATACTCCGTTTTTGTGAGTATTGCTGTACGCTCATCTATCGCTTTCCCAAATACCATATCCATGGGAAGCTTTATTTCTCGTCCAAACTGTAGCATGTTGGGAGAATATCCAGTTGATTCATGATTTGAAGATCTATATGCCATCATGCACAATGGGACTTCCAGATCCCAATCTCCCTGGTCATAGTCAATGGCTTTACTCAGTATGTCTTCAAGAGTTCTGTTTAGACGCTCCACCATTCCATCACTTTGCGGATGAAAGGGGGAAGTTCTTGTCTTGTCTGAGTCCATTATCTGGCACAATTCCTGGAATATACGGGATTCGAACTGCCTCCCTTGATCACTATGGATTATATCAGGTATCCCATATCTTGAAATATATTCCAGTGTGAATGTATTTGCTATAGTTCTGGCCTCTTGGTTCTGCATGGGTAGTGCCTCAGCCCACTTGGAAAAATAATCTTGAATTATTAGGAGATACTTGTTCTTCCGTTCTGTCTCAGGCAAAGGTCCTAATATGTCCATTGCAAGCCTTTCTCCCGGATATCCCACTATGTGTTGTTTCAAAGGGGCTTTGCTTTTCTTTCCAGGTGATTTTCTTTCTTGGCACTTTATACATTGTTTGATCCACTGCACTACTGAATCATGAATATTTGGCCAATAATACCTCATTCTGATACGTTCTTCTGTCCTTTTGATTCCCATGTGTCCTGACATTTTGTGGTTGTGTGCCATATTCAAGACTTCTCTTATCAAGGACTTCGGGATCATCAGTTGCAAACTATACTGGTCTAATTTCCTTGTGTACAATTTACGGTAGAGTATATCATCTTTCAAAGTCAAAACATCCCATTGTCCAACAAGGCATTTAATCTCTGGGGATTTTGATGATATATCGGTCCATAAGGGTCTTTCTCCAAGCTCTTTCTGTTTTATGACAAACCCCAGATTATGGTCACTCCTTTGGAGATCTGCTACTTGTTTATCAGAAAAGCGTTGCATCCATTCATGGTCCTCTGCATCTTCTCTAAGGGAATCATCATCTTCCTTCATACCGGTAGTACCCTCACGAATCACATCAATGCTATTCAAAGGAGATGCGTTTTCTTCCTTCGGAAGGTTATATGTTTTATTACATTTCTTTTCTTGATCATCTTGAAGCATCATTATCTCACTATTTTGCTCTCCATGTTGAGGGTCTTTGCTTTCCTGTCTGGTACAATAACTACAAAGACTCTGAGCACAAGGTCTTCTAGAAAGGCCATCTGCGTTTCCATGTAATCTTCCTTTCCGATGTTGGATTTGAATGTCATACGTTCCCAATATCTCTATCCATCGAGCAAGTTGTCCCTCTGGTTTCTTGAAATTGAGTAGCCAAACTAAAGATGCATGATCAGTTCTGACTAATACTTTGCTTCCATAGAGAAAATGGTGATAGTGATTGACACTCAAAACTACTGCGAGTAATTCCTTTCTTGTCACGCAATAGCGTCTTTGCTCTGGCCCATGACTATGACTGAAATAGGATAGAGGGTGTTCTTCTCCTTCAAGTTCCTGAGAGAGTACCGCCCCTATTGTGGTGTCACTCGCATCTGTATCAAGTATAAATGGTATCCCCATCTTTGGATACGCTAGTATGGGGGCATTTGTCAAATTTTTCTTCAGCTTTTGAAATGCTAACTCACAATTCTCTCTCCATTTAAATATATTGCCTTTGCACAGTAGATCATTCAGCGGTTTTGCTTTCTCCGAGAATTGTTTGACAAAACGTCTATAGTACCCACATGTTCCCAAAAATCCTCTGATTTCATGTTTGTCCTTTGGTCTTGGCCATTCCTTTATAGCTTGGATCTTTTCGGGATCCGTAGCTATCCCATCTTTAGAGACGATGTATCCAAGAAATTTGACAGAATCTCGGAACATGGTGCATTTCTTTGGGGCTAGTTTAAGATTAGCTTTCTGAAGCGCCTCAAAAATAGTGTTGGCCTTGCTTAGATGCTCCTCAAATGTCTCTGAAAATAGGATTATGTCATCGAGATAACATAAGCATAGCTTCCACAGCTTGCCTGATAGTACCGTTTCCATGAGTCTCTGAAATGTCGCTGGAGCATTGGTGAGCCCAAAGGGCATTACTTTGAATTGGTAAAGCCCTTGTTGTGTTACAAAAGCTGTTTTGTGTGCATCTTCAGCATCCATCTCAATTTGCCAATAGCCGGAAGATAAATCGAGAGTTGAGAACCAGCATGAGCTTTTTAAAGCATCCAAGGTGTCATCAATTCTTGGTATGGGGTAGCTATCTCGTATAGTAACCGAATTCAGATACCTGAAGTCAATGCAAAATCTCCAAGAAGCGTCTTTCTTTTTGACCAACACTACGGGGGAAGCCCAGCTACTATTAGATGGTTCAATGATGTTCATCTCTAGCATTTTCTCTATCTCCTTTTCTTGAATGTCTAATTTGTTCAAAGCAAGTCTTCTTGCATTTTGTTTCAATGGCCTGGAATCGCCAGTGTTGATTTTGTGTTTGACAACTCCTGTCTTTCCTAGGTCAGCTTTGTCTTTAGCGAACAAATATTGATACTTCACAAACAGGCTTGTTGCTTGTTCCTTTTGAGCTTCTGATAACAATTCATGACTTCTTTTCACCATATCCTTCATGTATTCTGGAATATGTGTCTGAGTTTGGTCCTCAGTGTTTGCTTTCAATCTACATGTTTTTGCATCATTTTGCATTTTCTTGGGATTGTCCTCTAAATCTACAATTGTAGCAGACGCCGGAACTGATTCGCCTATCGCTGCCACCATTTCTTTATGCAATATTCTAGAGTCTGTGGTCATATTAGTCAGCTGTAACAAACAATGACCTTGCTTTTTCTTTGAAAGGCTTCTGGCTACAATGATCTCTTGCTCATAGATTTGTGGCGATGCTTCCACAAGAACATCCATATTTTCATGAATGTTTGAAGAAATTTCTCCTCTTATTAGGGTATGACTTAGTGGGGGCAATGTTATGTCTTGATCCAGTTTTATCAAACTGATATGAGGTACTTGATTCTCTTTAATACAAGAAATGGATTTCCCATTTACCTCCAGGGTATCTTCGTTGATGTTGAGGACACAATTGTTAGCCCTCATGAAATCCATTCCAATAAGAGCTGGAGTACTGATCTCAGCAAGCCATATCTTCTGATTATATTCTTCACCATTTTCCAATTGTATCCTGCCTAGAATCCAACCTTCTGTCCATACTTTATTTCCATTTGCTGCTGTGAAGGCCTTTTTCCCTTTCATCAGCTCTGGTCTGGTCTTTATTGGTATGCTATGGTATTTCCTTGGGTGTAAAACTGTATAAGAGGCGCCAGAGTCTATCAGGCATGATATGGGTAATCCATTCAAGTTTACATCAATGCAAAGACCTTCATTACTGTCATTCGCATTAAAAGTAGCTACCTGCTTACTTGTTTCTCCCTTGATTTGCTCCTTAATTTTCTGAGAATTTCCAC